GTCTAAGTCGATCTGTTGATTTAACCATGTCAAGTGTTTTTGTGATATTAAGGTAAAAATAAAAAATAACGGATAAAATTATTTTGGATGCAATTTGTTTCAGGCTGCCTGGTTATAAAAAAGTCCAGGCCACATCACTGGTTAACAGTTAGAATAACTGTTTTACCACATACGAGACCAGCACAAAGTAAGTTCATGAGCAGTTGGTGCATCAGAGAGCAAGTGTAAGCAGGGAAATTCAGCGTGGCTTGAAGAGAAAAAGAATTCTCCACAGATCCAAATCAAACTAATTTAACAGAATTTACCTTGCATTGCATTCTAATTATCATTTCTCATCCCACTCAATTCATTCTTTCCTTCTTAGATCCCGCAATTTATCACTCCGTTAGTGACCTTTACTGCTTCACAACTGTTTAATCCTGTCTTAAATACATTATCCCATAATCTATAGAATGTAGGATTTTCAGTATGCTGACCTATGATTTTAGCTTCTAATTCGCTCAAAATTGAAGAAGAAAGGCCACAGCTGATAATTTTGTTAGATCAATCCATCGGATGGTTCGGGATGAAAAATGAGAAGACAGTTCTCAAGACTTCATCCTGATCATTTTGGCCTGAATTTCATATTTTGACGAAATTCTTAATTTTTAACTCCTCAATCCCGCCAGTTTCAACAACAGCTTTTTGCAAAGGACCGTTAGTCAAGGTGATGACTTGGAGATACAGATTGGTCAAGACAACGAAAAAGTTGCACAATGGACGACCACGCTGCGAATTAACAGATGTTCCAGCTATTTCCTCACTGAGGATGGAAGACAACCCAAAAGAAATGCCTCAACTTTTGTGTATGATCCTCTAAAAAACTGAACCACCAATGAAAATCCATTAAGAAAGATGCATGGCTCGGTCAGAAAGGCATAAAGTTGAAAGCACTCTGCATGCGGAAAGTCGAAGCTTTGTTCGTAAAGTAAGAGAAAATATCAGCCGTGAGTGAGGATAATGCAAGCTTTCAACTGCAATACTGTCGTGAGAAGTGCATGTGCATTTCTGGGTAAAAAATTTTATTTCTCTGTGCTTAACTCGGATATGATTTTATCCAGAAAAGAAGCTAGAATATAAATGCCCATGATGTTTTTTTTGATTATCATTTGCCTACTTAGTTAAGCGGAGCTACACGACTTTGCCGTTTTGGCAGCTTCCAGATGTGTATTTCACGACGCTTCATTTTGCTTACTGGGCAAAATTATGCAAAAAATGCATCCAAAAAGTTGAGAAATAACAAAAAGAAAACCTGCGGCGAGTAGATGTTCCAGCAGTGCCTTCTGCAGCACTCACTCCAGATGGTCCGGCTTCTGACTGAAATTTGCATATTTTTTTAAACAGTTTTTCGACAGGCATAGCACACTGGCAAGTAAGCCTTTGCCATAAAGTGGTTCGAGAGTTCGACTTTTTAGGTGGGACAATCAGTCACTCTGTGAATTTTGGTTGGAACTTGGTACTGACAAAGAGTCAAAAACCGCCTTCAGCTTGCTTGTAGGCAGTTCTTGAAAGCGGCATCCACCAACAGTTGTGCCAGCGAATTTTTGGTATTTGCTATCACTTAGGCTACTTTTCTAGTGCGTCCGCCTTTGTTTTACTATCTGTTTATATTGCTCTCTGTCTATCTTTATATTATTATTTTTAGATGCTCGTTCCTTTTACGTTATTTTCACTCACTTTCAATTACTCGCTTAATTATCAGTGTTTTAAACGCCCCTAAATCTTATTTCTAACTCAAAAAAAACCTGCAACGCTGCGCCGGTCATTCGTCCACTTCGGCCTGCTTGCCCACTCCGTCGAGACGCTGTAGCTGCAGCAGCGGCTGCGGCTGCATCCTCGGCCTCTTTCTTTTCAGCCTCCGCTTGTAACTCATGCAACAGTCGACGGCCACGTACTATCTTCGAAATTAGGAACATACCTTCAAAATCACTATTTAATTTTTTCACACTGTGAATTTTCTAAGCGCAAAACGACGCTCACGGAACACTGTGTCATCATATTAGAAAATGCAGTGGGTAGCCGAGTTTTACGCAAATTTGGAATGTTTTTGGAAAATTTTTCGAAACACTACAACCTCTTAACAATGCCGGACAATTAGTAAGGAAGATGCAATAGAACCAACCTTACTGTGGTGAATTTAATGTTGTTAGCGTAACTGTTAGGCCTTTTTAACCTGAGTTAGAGGTCTCTAGCTAGTGCTCACTGCACTTGCCGCGCTCTGCCCTAGAGACCACTTCATTTTACTATTCTTCTTCCCACAAGTACTATTACGTTTTACGAAACATTCATCGGCTGTCAGCAAAAAAACAGAGCGTTTTGCCTCAGGGAATTTATTTTTT